CTGGTAGAATCCATTTTTATCATTATGTTAAATCAGATGTTTACTCACTCAACTACGGTTTCATAATGGCTAGTTAACAATTTCATTTCCAGTTTGATGGTCCTTTCATCTCCAGACCATTTAATAACATTGTTGTACGAACTCTCCAAAACTTGTGGTTCTCTTTTAAATGTCGTTGCAAATTTGATCCTGAGATACTTATATTGAGCCGTCATTAAAAGGATGAAATGGATCGTGTAGAAATCCAAGCCAATTTTTCTAACTATCGTATATGTACCGCCGATAATCTCCAGGACAACACCGCCAATAAAAATATTGGCTGAAAAAGGTTGCTTGGATATAACGGCTGGCATTCGATAATCCGAATAATAGAACTCGTTCTTCCGAGAAATCTCGACAAGTGGTAACGCTATCCAAACAATAACTGCAGTAATGCTACCAATTACGTAAATCGTCAGCGATTTCTCTATCGGTTTCACTACATTCACTGTGACGTCCTGTAGCGTTTCATTGCCTTCGACGAGACGATTCAGCTTTTCGATTAATCCACGTAACAATCTTTTACGACAATGCAAGTAAATTATTAGCGTGATTATTTCTAACGACACCACTGCGTTCACTGTGCCATCCTTCAACGCTTTCTCCCTCGGCACGCAAAAAAGTCCCAAAATACAAGCAGCCAGGTATACTAATTCTATGAACCAAACGATGATCGAATAGATTTTGAAAAGAACCGTTAGTTTCGTTTTCTTGCTCGTCATCGGCAAGAAATTCCCCGATAACGTGTTCACAAGATTGTTTAAACGATTCAGGCTACGAAAATCCATTTTTCTTCGTTGCTTAATCTTTTCAATAAGAATAAAGGAAATTGCTTAGCGAATTAGCACGTGCGTAGTTTCATGTATTGTTTCGTCTTATGTATTACATAACAGTAGGAACTATTAGTAATTTTTCTTATTAAATTTCTCTTCATAAATCTCCTCCCCCATAGGAGAGAAATTCCTTTATATCTATTTCTCACGAAGATAAATATAGTGAAGCTGACGCGATAAGTATGTTCTACGCTGTACGAATGCAACGAAAATACATAAATGTTCAATATCTTGTTTTAAATCTTCTTCGTTATTAACCCACTTGACAACATCCTGATATTTAAAACTCACAAATCCTCTGTCCGAAATATTTCATATGCGACTGTAGCTTGTCTGTTCATTCGTACCATTTTCATCAGTAGCGCCATACACTTTCGTGTGGATGCTATATCACGTGCAATATAAGCTTCTTTCAGTTTTATTATCGATCGTCAGAACTTTGTCAGCCGTCCTATAATTATGTTAGGTCTCCTCCAACATATGACAAAGTGCATCAGTATTTAACAAGCATATTTATTCCCCGTTTGACGTAGGAACTCATTCCAGAGTTTCTCTGTACATTGCTAATTACAGAAACGTGGAATTAGCTTCGTACAGTTTCAAAACAAAAAGCAAAAGTGAAGAAAGAGTTTTTCTCCGTAATTTCCACATTATCAATTGAAAGAGTAATTCATTTGTTAACTTTTAGAGTCGCAATGTCCTAAAGAACTGTAGTACTTCACATTATTTCACGACTGATGCATGCCAACTTCAGATGTGCCGATAATATATCACAGTGTTGGAAACTTGTTCATGATCCTGCCAATGATCCTCTTCTCGTTCAACAATTTCTGAAAGTAAGTTGTTTTATATATTTATACACACAAAGCGTAACAGGAAGAAATGAATTATTTTTGTTTAAAAATAGACATAACGATTGAAGTAATAAAGAAGAATGAAGGAAAGCATTTTACGTGAAATTTTCAAATTCTTTCGTACATATAGATACAGACGTATCTTTAATTTCTGTTACAAAAAGTTGGGTTCATGCAGAATCTGAAGAAGAAGGAAACAACAGGATGAAATAGGTATGATCAAGGCTCACGAGTCTTTAGTTCGACTCACAGCTTACTTTCGTTCGTCTATTTCGATGGACTATCATTTTTCCATTTTCCCTCTTTTAGACAGATCTTTAACAATCTGCCATATTCCATTTCGATTATATGTAAAAAAAATATGTGAAAGATACATTCCTGCCTTCCTCTTGTTTCTATTTTTTATATATGATCCGGTGTGTTGCTATTTACATTCATTGCTATTTTGTTTATTTGTTTATTCCTTGAATCTTTTCTATCTCTCGCCTTCAAATTTAGCGTTTATTTTTTTTGTATTAATTATTTTATTACGTGAAATGTAATTGTTATATCTATGTCCAACGCGTGTTACTACATTACAATTATTATAAATTAAAATCTCGTAATGTATTTATTTAATCATGCCCGTGTACCGCGGGAATGAATTAGTTTTGTCTTGCTTTTAGAAACAATAAGCATATCGAATATGCTTGATTTAAGACCTACGAAAACATATGTTAATAAAGTTACAATTAAGTAGACGGTGATTAATTAGATATTCATGTAAAGTGTTTCAAAAGTAAATTGATTAAATCATGCTGGTATACTTTATAAACAGGAATAAATAAAAAAGAAATGTCATACAATTGTTAGCAATTGATAGAAGAAACTTTGAATTAAAATAAAGTTAAATTAAAAAAATGGTAATTTTAAATATATTCTGAATTGTAAATCGCTCATGTTGGTTGATTTACGTTTAATTCCAAAAGATTTGACAATTAACACGTCTGATTAATTTTACTTTCGGGGATATAATGCCCAAACAATATAATTGATAAACATTCTGTGGCTTCCAGCTAAATTCCACCAATACGGGATTTTGAAGGGATGAAAGTGAAGTTTTCCTATTTATTAATAAATAAAACCTCGAAAATTAATAAATACCCGAAGCTAAAGGTTTATATTTGGAATTCTCCTCTGTCCCCAAGAATTTTTAAGAATAAAAATATTTTATATATTTATCCGATATACTTCATAAATCTGGAAGCAACATCAAACATCGAAAAATATTATGATTTAAATATTTAATTAAAAAGATATATAATTTGACTTAATTTTCATTAACTTAGCTAGTTTTTTAATTTTTCCACATTGAAGAACCATTTATATCAGATCATTATTCTTCACTGTGCCATGTATTTAAAAAGAAATTACTTTGAAGAAAATTTTCAGTTTTTTCTAATCAGTTGAAATAAATATTTTAGGTAACAATCCTTGATAATTATTCATATTGGGGGGAGTTATTTCGATCTCGTATAGTCTCTCGTTATGCCTTATTTCACATATAATTCATATTTCATATCATTTCTATATTACTCTCACATTTTTAAAATACGTATACCAACATATAATTATTCTATTTACCTCTGATAATATTACATAATATCACGGATTTGATTATTTATCGAGTAAAAGTATTATATTTTCATTGTTAAAAAAAAAACTTACCGACATGAAAGACGGTAAAGTTAAATCAATACTTTGAAGACTACATAATTTGCACTCTAGTTTATTGGTCAAAATCATCATAATAATTGCGCGTTGTAATGATACGTCGTGAAAATACCACTTCTCGTGTATTACATCGTCCGTTACAGTTTCACTCTAACAATTCGAGATAACAAATTAGATTAATGACTATGAATAAAATTTGAGATAAATTAAATTAATGATTATGAATTAAATTTGAGATAAATTAGATTAATGATTATGAATTAAATTGGATTAAAATTATTCACACAATGCTGATTATAACGTATCGCTATAAATGTATTAATTTGATTTTGTATTACTAAATTCATAGATATATTCAAACATATTTCTTATCTATTGCATTTTCTTTTTATTGTCTAACTGAATATTAATAAATACGAAGTAATTAAACACTTTAGTTTTTTTCGTTAATACAGATTGACATACTATAAGTTATTATAGTTGTATCACTTACCGCTTCGATTAACTCTTGAATAGAGTAGCATAATATGTAAAATTGCATCAGTGCACCAAGCGTATACATTGTAACTAAACATTTTTCAGGAAAGAATCCAATACTCTACAATGAAATGAACAATTTGTAAAATGAGCAACAACACGTCTTTATGAAACACGCAACAACAGGGAAAATAGTGAGATAAAATTACGAATTGAAAAGTTGAAAAATTGAAAATATACCGTCACGAGCATAAAACTCATGAAGCAGAACCGGAAAACGTATTCTATATAAAGAAATCCAATATTTGGGGAAAGCAATTTCCTCAACATGACAGCCATCCTGCAATTTACGATTTTAGTTAATTCATAACCTACGTACTTATGATAATATTCTGATTTTTATAAATTAATATTAATTTCATAATAATTTTATATTAATTTTATAATAAATTTTTCATAAATTACGTGCTTATGATAATATGATTTTTATTATGATGATATTATCAAACGATGTTATAACATAGCTAGAAAGCAATTGGAAAATTTTACAAAAAATTATTTATCTATATATTGAAATTATATATAATCATATATAAATCCGTCTTTTACATTGTTGTCCATACATATGTAAAGTATATAAAGCTGAACATATTGAAACAAGAAAAATGTTCAATCCTTAAATTCTTTTTATATCATAGATTTAGAATTAATAATTTGATGCTTTTTTTGTTTACCATTTCATATTAAAAGAAACAATATTTTTGTGAATAATTTGATCCTAAAGACACAATAGAATGTAGCTGTATGAAATTAATAAATGTTGAACAAGGATGTAAATCATCCCTCTTTAAATCGATCAGTTTTTGCTCCGAAATTAAATCTGTTGATCTTGGAATTTCGATTTTTCGAAAGTTTCAAGATTTTTTTATGTACTGTATGAAATGAAAATACATTTAAGTTTGTTTTTTTTCCAATTAAAAATTGAATTGCGAAAAGCACCAATTTCTGATGAAGTGAAAATGAAATTTCGAGGAGGGGATGACTCCAAATATAAACTTTTAGCTTCGGGTATTTATCAGTTTAATGTTAAACAACAAATTTTTCACTAGAATACACTGAATCCAGCCTAACATTACTAGTCAAATATTTTCACTGTCAACAATCGTTGTCGACTGTCAAATAGCCGAGAATATATTCCATAATAGATATTATCTACCTTAGTATCTATAGGGTGTTCCACTTATTAGTAATATTTTCCATTTTTATTTCCACTTATTGGAAACTATAGTGAAATGAATTTATTACCTTATTAGTAATATTTTCCACTTTTATTTCCACTTATTGGAAACTTAAAGTGAAATGAAACCTTTGAAAAGTTTCAAAACAAAGTTTTTTTTTTTTTTTCATTTTTTTTACATTAACTGATGAAAAGTAGGAATTGAGATTGAGCTTCTGACATGTATAAAAGACGACTGGTAATGTAACTTTGTTCATGCTATGGATAACCAAGATTATGTAGATAAATACTAAAGTCGATATCTATCAATCAGAGAATCCCAAAGTGATAATTATTACAGCGAGAATCATTGTATTAGTGAGGTTCTGTATAAGCAGAATTCATACTAATAAATACCAAGTGCAAAAAATTTAATTTGCTTGGAACCTGCCTGCATCGCGATTAAAATTTGTAAAAATATATATAATATTGTACATATTATAATTACGTGCAATTCGAGGAATACAATATTTATGTACACGTGAGCACAACTAGCATAGCTTCCACAAGTTGAAGAACATAGCAAGCAGAAGGCAAAAGACAAACGCAATTAAAAGATGAACGATCATTATTAAAATTATTATAATATCGTAATTAACTTGCGAATCACTTCGTTGAAGTGAATTATGTTGAAAGAACGTAATCACACTTCTACTTACTCGACCACAGTTTCATAATGGCGGGTTAACAATCTCATTTCATGTTTCACCGTTCCTTTATCTCCGGGCGAGATGTTCCGTTTAACAATGTCGATGTGCAAAGTTCCCGGCTCCTGTTGAAATATCGTTGCAATTTTGATTCTCAGATACTTGTACTGCGCCGTCATTAAAATAATGAAGTGCATCGTGTACAAGTCCAAGCCGATCTTTCTGATTATCGTACACGCGGCGCCAAGGATCTGCAGGACAACGCCGCCGATGAAAATGCCGGTTGAGAAAGGCTCGTTGGATATAGCGGCTGGTACTCCGTAATCGGAATAATAGAACTGATCTTTCCGGAAAATTTCGAGAAGTGGCAACGCTATCCAAACGGTAACTGCAGTGGTATTGGCAATTGTATAAATTGTCAACGGCCTCACTATCGGCTTTACTGTACGAACCGTCATGTCTTGAAGCATTTCGTTGCCTTCGATGAGATTGTTCAACTTTCCAATCAACTCACGTAACAAAGTCTTACGGTTGTGCAAGTAAACTGATAACACTATCGTTTCGAACAGGACGATTAGGTTTATTGTACTGTCCCTTAACGCTTTTTCCTTTGGGACACAGAAAAGTCCCAAAATACAAGCGGCCAGGTATACTAATTCTATTAACCAAACGACGATCGAATAGATTTTGAAAAGAACCGTCAGTTTCGTTTCCTTACTCGTCATCGGTAAGAAATTGCCCGATAATATGTTTACAAAAATGTTTAAACGATTCAGGCCACGAAAATCCATCTTCTTCGTTGCTTATCCTTTTCAATAAGAATAAAGGAAAATGTTTAGCGACGGTGTAAAAATAATAGTTCTATATATCATTTCAAAGTAAATCTTTCTTTCACCACTTGTTCTTGTAAATCTCTTTTCCCACTCATTCAAAGACGAGAAGTTTCTTTTCCTTTATATTTAAACTTTAGAATTATATTAAAACGATAGAAACATGAAGATATCTAAAATATATTAATGTGAAAGCAAATGTAATAATAGAAATATCTCGTTTCAAATGTGTTCTTTACAATTAAATCCACTTGATAGTATCCGATATTTCAATGACATTTAGAAATTCGTACTACCGTGTATATACCTGCCCATCATTATTGAAAACTTACGAATGATCTGTCAGAAATATTTGATACGACTGTAGCTTGTCATTTCGTCGCTGATCTGTTTATTCATTCACCATTTTCATCAGTAACACCGTGCAATATAAACTTCTTTCAGTGTTATCGATCGTTGCAACTTTGTACGTCTCCCTTTAATTATGTTGTTGTATGGCAGAAGACACCCGCAGTATATAGCGTACAATATTATTTACTTCTTTTTGATGTAAAGAAATTCACGATCAATTTCTGGCAATATTAATTTTTCCTTAAATTGCTAGCACGAAAACGTGAAATTAACTTCGTACAATTTACGGCAGAAAGTAAAGAAGAAGGAGGAAGCAAAGTTCGCTTCTCGAACTGCTACATTATAAATTGAAAAAGTAATTTATTACTTTTACAGCCATGGAATCCGAAAGAGCTTAATAACGCGCGTGACTGATAGATGGAAAATAGTGTATTGGATCAAATCAGTCTTAGGACTGCCAATAACATATTAAAAAAGTGTTTTGGAGCCAATGATTCTAGTCTCGTTGGAAACACAGTTCTGAAAGTAAGTTTTAAATATTTATTTGTACAGAAAAATATCTTTAACACTGCTGACAGGAAACAAGTATTTTTAACACATCCATTTTTTGAATGAAAAGGAAGCAATAAAAAATTTTGATTTGATTGATTTTACACTAAATTTTTAAATTCTTTTGCACGTATACAGGATGAATTGTCTAATATGATCATATTAAATTATTCTGATTGTTGATCTTGACGATCACACTCAAGATCATTTTTAATTTCTTGTAAATAAATCCATCACGCTCATCATTTATCTAACATTGAAACGAATTCACCAATGTATCATAAAGATTCTTTTTTCATTGGAACATTAGCTAAAGAAGCCACTAAAAAAAAAAGGTAGTGTAATTATGTTGAAGATCTAATTAAACACTATTATCCAAAAAAAAAAATGTTTTCAATCGATTCAATAATCGAATAATTTAATGTAATCACGTTAGGTGAAAACTCGATAAAGGAATATCTATAATTGGAAGATCTTTTGCCTTTTTCTTTGATTTGACTTATCAAGTTTCGAGTGTATATTAAAAAATAGAAAAATTTTTAGTATATTATTAACGATTAAATTATGGAAATCTACATATTTCTCGCAATATCTACTCACAGCAATAGAGTAAAACTTTTACTACAAAATACTAAATAATTATTATT